CTTTCCTTTAAAATTAGTAGGAAGTTTAATATTTAGGATTTCAAAGTAAATATTGCCTGGGAGAACTAGGAGTATGTTTTCTTTTCCTTCTATTTTCTACGGCAATCCCTTTGAAATATGTTTAGGCATTCATTCTCCTTATAGGCAACTTAGAATTCTAAGGATAGTTGAGAGGTTTATACTTAATAAATTTTTAATTATTCAATATAGTTTTTAAATTACATAAAAATAATGTAAAGAAAAGTATTTATTGAATACCAAAGGATTTAAAAAATTATTTCATATTTTCTCTATTATTATAAAAGTATAAATCCCCAATGCAAAAAAATAAATAACTTATTTTTTGTAATGTTAACATTAAATAATCAACTCTTTGAATTAATTAATTAGCAAAAGAATCCAATTTAATTCTTTTCCAAAATCTCAAGTTAGTAAAGTTATTTTTCAAGTTGATGAAACTCTTAAGTTACACAAATTTATTTTCATAAGAAGAGCACTAGCGGTGACAGAAATTAAAAATTTAGCAAAATTAAATATATTATAGTATTAATTTGTTAATTATTTTTAGTATTAGGTAACAAAATTAATAATACTTTTCATAATATATTCCAAAGTTCTCATAATAGGCTTTTATTGGATAAGATTTCTTTATTTAGGGAACAAGCTAAGTTGGGTCAACATTCATTATTAACAGCTAACATTTTTTAATTTTTGTACAATAACTCAGATATATTATTTAATAATAGTCGCGTTATTTTTTACAATTATATACTCACTGAAATAGAATACACGTGCAAAGTGCGTACCCTTAGACTAGTATCGCTAAACTTGGGGAGAGCAATTAACAAAGTCTTAAGGACCTAGACCGGCATAATAATCTCAGATGTTGCTTTAGCTATGTCAAAAACTTATTAAGAAAATGAAAAATTTATAAGTTGGGATTTTTCAGAACTGAGACGAGTTGTGCTCAACCAAACTCATAAATTACTAACAATTACCCCCCCCCCCCCCCCCCCACAACCCACACCGCACCACACACACAACTGGGAGTACCAAGACAAGGAATGCTTATTATATTAATAAAAATATACATACATACACACATAGGGCCTCATAAAATGTGGATGGCGTCAAAGCGATAGTTTGTATATTGATGTACGAGGAGTCATGAAGTTCATAAAGGCTTTGTGACTTGAAGTATGGAAATAAATGTTAGCTCCTCAAACAGGCGGGTTATATCTTCAAATGTATTAGAAGAAATAACTTAAATAATTGCTCACCCAACCGCTCAAACTACAAAATAGTTGGCATATGTATAATATATGTATAATTTATCTATAATGTGTGTATGACCGTGTGTACTCAGCTATTTGTGTAAAGATTCCAAGTATTCTCTTCTTTTTGGTGACTAATTCCAAAATATTGTCCTTTTTTAAGGAGATACTAGACCTTATTTGCTTTTTCAGAGACTAGTATTAACTTTTTTCAAAAGAAACTACTGCAAAATATATTTAAAGAAAAGCTAAATTAAGTACTCCCTCCGATCCACAATAAGTGACTAATGTACCTTTTTATTTTGGTCCAAAATAAGTGTCCATTAGTATAATCAAGAAAAAATTCAATTTGTTTTTTCAAATTACCCTTATGTACGTATCCCTAAAAAGTCTTTTACTCCTCACATTAAATTATGCTGCAACATTTAATTAAGGGTAGTTTAGTCACACAACTATTTTTGTCTAGAATTTAGTATTTCCTTAATGGGTGTGCCCAAGTTAAATTGGTCACTTATTGTGGACTGGAGGGAGTAATTGCTAAAACATTAAAAAATAATATCCATAGCTCAGGATATTAGACTTGTAGCAATATCAAAGGTAAATTTTTCAATAAAGAAACAATAGAAAACTGAAAAACCTCTAGGAAATAGTGTCAAAATAGCACGGTATAGCCAGTTTTCGGACTGGTCATTCAAAAATAGTCAGCGTTTACCAAGTCAATGAAAAATAGCCACTATTTTGCTGCGGCAGAGACCGGTCCAGCATAATATACCGGAGTTCGGTGCACCTGTGTATGAACTCCAGCATATTATGCTGGACCGGTATACTTTGCTGGCTCCAGTATAATATACTGGAGACTGGAGCACCGGTGCTCTAAACTCCAGTATATTATGTTGGGCCGGTATACTTGCTGGAACTCCAGTATATTATGCTGGAGTTCTAGTGTACTTATGCTGGAACTCCATCATATTATGCTGGAGTTCCAGCATACTTATCTTGGAACTCCAGTATAATATGCTGGAGTTCAAGTATACTTATGCTGGAACTCCAGCATAATATACTGGCGTATTTTTTCGAGTTTTGAAGTGTTTTCGCTCAGATTTTTCTTTACATAAAAAGTGACTAAATTTCGATTACTTTTGAAACTGAACTATTTTTAAACGACCATTTATAAATCTGGCTATTTTTGAATTTCACCCGAAATAGTCCAAATACTATGTAGTAACTGACAGTATGACCACTACAAAATCGGACAGGTTAGGTAGTAAACAATTCCAACAGATTATTTGTCAAATCCATTTTGATTTAAATAAAATTTTGAATGGATTGAGTTATAACCCATTATTTATTTTACCTCTTTTTGGCATGTTCAGCACTCTATTTATCTAATTTAATTGCCCCTCTAGTTATGACTTATGACCTATAGCTCATATCTCTCTAGATCGCGAGGTTTATTGGAAAACAGCACAATATAGTTGCTGCCAAAAATAATAACAGGTAAAATATATAGTGTTTATATATATATAGCAAATATAATTATTTTTCGTTGATTGGCGAAATATGTAAATTGTCCTTTATTATTTAAGATTTAAAACTTTTATGTTGAAAGAGAATATACAAATTTTTTGGTAAGTTGACCTTTAATTTTCATTTCATACTATATAGTGTATCAATCATGAAAAAAAAAAGTATAAAGGGAAATGGACGAAATGATTATTTAAGGTGGTTTACCTTTCGGTTTGGAAACACGAGATATTATCACGGGCAAGTAAGTGTACATGTTTGTTCTTTACTGAAAATGCCAATTCATCACCCTTTCCACACAAGTTATCATCTCTCTCTTCCTCCTCCCTCCTTTTGTCATTATGTTTTGTTGGTACTTACCTTTTTCTTTAGTCCAACTTTATATAATAATCACTAGTAATTAGGAACTTAATAAAACGACGATTCCAAATTTAATACAGATTAATGTTTAGTCAGCCCGTGTTCTTACGAGGAATTTCAGTGTATTCTTACCAGGAATTATAGTAGTTCAGTTGGTTGACTATCTGAATTTTTACCTTGTCGGTAAGTCCGTTTCTTCACATGTAATCTCCTCCCCATTTTTCCTTACCTTCCGCCCACGGGTGTAGACTGATTTTAATCTTTCCACCTTAATTAAAGGTATCGAATTTGAGCTTTCGAGAGAATTTTTTGTTAAAAATATTTTACACCCTCAGATGGCGTACAACAACAAACCCAATTTGATCCCACAAATGGGGTCCGGACCCAGTTTGACCCTCGGAGGGCGTATTTGATGCAATTTCATATTAATCAGATAATCTTATTTTGGATACCAGGGTGTTTAGAGGGAAAAAAAAGGTATTCCCAATTTGAAGATTTTTACTAGTGGGAAATTCTAAAAAGTTAAAAAGGAAGTCTAGCTCTTCTTGATCTCTTTGTCTGGGTAAAACAATAGAGTGTACAAATCAAAAAATCAAGAAACTACTTTGTGGTGGGTCAATCAATTTTCAAATGAAAATGATACATGTGTTAAAGAAATTAGTGAAAGATCATTATGATTCAAGAGCATGCATAAAAAGATGAGAAATCATGACTTGTCAATGAGATAATTTATAAAGCTAGTATGTGAAGAAAAAGGGCTTCAAGACTGCTACATTAACTTTACTCATACTTCCATATTATGGTGGCTTTTAATGGTAATCCGGTGCATAAGGTATCTTGCGTTCACGCAGAATTTATGGAAGAATCGCACGTCAAGAGGTGTGATATAGACAATCTACTCTAATACAAGCATTAGTGGCTGCTTCAACAACTCGAACCCGTAACCTATATCTCACGCGAAAACAACTTTATCGTTGGTTCAAGACTCCCTTCTATGGTGCCCTTTAGACTTGTCAATATCTAAAAGAGTAAAAAGGGCAGCCCGATGCACTAAGCTCCAACTATGCACGGGTCCGGAAAGAGCCGGACCACAAGGGTAACGTACGCAGCCTTACCCTGCATTTCTGCAAGAGGTTGTTTTCATAGTTCAAACCCTTGACCTCCTGGTCACATGGCAGCAACTTTACCAGTTACGCTAAGGTCCCCTTCTCAATATCTAAAAGAGTAAATTAAATATTTTTGTTCTCAATTTTTTTCTCAGTAGTCATTATCTCCTTGAATGATTACAGGTTGTATTTAGACAGCTTAGGAGACTGAAATTGAATAGAAACAAACCAACCACCTCACCCCCCCCCCCCCACCCCACCAAAAATAACCACTTCCCAACTAGTATCAGATGCATAGTGGAATCTGGACATTATTTACAGTGTTGCAGTCTGCAAAGAATGTTTTTCCCCTTAGAAAATTCAGTATACACTGCACTATGCCTAGACTTTTGTCATTAAATTCACCTCCAAATTAGTTCATATATGGTCGCGAAACTTTACTCACTATAACAATAATCACAAAACTACTTTTTATCACATTAGAAAAGTTCAACTATATTTGTATTATTCGAGAAAATACAAAGGACCGGAAAAAAAGAGAGCTTGGCGTAACTAGTAAAGTTACTGTCATGTAACCAGGAGGTTATGGGTTCGAGCGGTGAAAAGAATCTCTTGTAGAAATGTAAGGTAAGACTGCGTACAATAGAACTTTATGGTCCGGCCCTTCCCGGACCCCGCACGTGCATGGCACTGCTTTTTTTTACAATAAATTTAAAAAATACCACCAAGATTGCACTATGACTAGGCTTTAATCATTAACTTCACCTTAAAATCACAAAGTCAGATGATGTAAGCAAACAAGCTCTAAAATCATACACTAATTAAACAAAGAAAATAAGTCATTTCTTTTTAGTACAACCAAAACGGAAAGGAAAAGGGGGGGGGGGGGGGGGGGACCAAAATTTACTCTTGTAAATGGTTCACCTGTTGGATTGGCAGCTTCAAACTAAAGGGAGTACTTGTGAAGAGCTTGAAGGACAGAGTTGTACATGATGCTGATCAAGTTGTACATGATGTTGATCAAGTTGTACTTCTCTGTTCTTAGGGAAAATGAGTGTAATAAATGGTCCATTTTCCTCATCTTTGGCCAACTTTGAACTTGAAACTTCAAGATTTTCAACTTGAAATGGCACACTTTCCTCCACAAATCTTCTACAAAATTTGTCTTCAGCATCTCTCAAGAATTTAAATGTTGGAGGAGGTGAATTAGACCTTATAAACTTATTAAACTCAGCATCACTTATTGATTCAAGAAAAGGATTGAATCCATTTTTGTGCATCATAGGACTTAATGGAGGAGTAAAATAAGGTGGTGAAGTAAGTGGAGTTAAATAAGGAGTTTCCATATTTAGACATAAATCACTTAAACTCCTAGTTCTTGATCCTTTCCTACTTTTTTCACCTTTGGATTTTCCATCTTCAGATTCCAAATCTTCTTTAGTTTCCTCTTTGATAGTAAATAAAAATCTTGGGGGCCCACAAAGTCCAATAAATTCATTTTCCATGTTATCATCTCCAAAGGGTTTGAACCAAAAATCAGTCGCCTCCTCGACTGGTTGACCTCTCCACTGACTACTATTTAACTCTACATTGGATTGAGCTTGGATTGTTGGTTCATGGACTAGTTGTGTACCATTGGCACAAATTTCTTGAGATTTTAAGGCAATATTGGAATTTAAAGAAGTTGAGGGCTTAATACAAAACATACAAAAGAAGTCTTTTGCTTTATTGCTACTATAACCATCTTCAAGACTTGTTTTAACAATCCTATTTTTCCACCATAATAAGTAGTAAAGCTCAGCAATAAGAGCTAATAAAAGACAACCAAATACCACACTTAAAACAAGTCCTACACTGCTTAAAGATTTCATCTTTACATTTATATAACCAATAAAAACTAAAAATTCCAACCTTTCACCTTAGAATTGCCTCAGATTCTTGAAACTGAGAGAAGATCTTTGCTTTCAAATTTTCAAGAAGAGAAGAACTTTGATATTTTCAGCAAGTTTTCTTTGAACTTTGTCTGAAGTTGAAGATGTAGTGAAAGCATAGAACAAGTTTCAAACCAACCATAAAAAGAAAAGGACTAAAGCAAGAAAAGAGGTGGCCTTTTTGCTCATAAATCAACTTATTGAATGATGATACATGTTATAGAGGAAAACAGACTAGCTTTTTTACTAAAATACCCATGGAATCTAAGTAAGCAGATGTGGACACAAATCTGATTTGGGTTTTTTTTTTGGTTGGGTGGGTGGGGGGGAGATGGTGATCATTAAACTGGTTTGTTTGTGAAGGTAAATTTTAACTAAAGAACAATACATGTCACTGTTACAATGAGGGGCCCTTTTAAAAAAAAAAAAAGAGTTAATGATGGTTTCATGAAAGAGATTTATATGTTAGCAGAAAACATAGAGATTTTTTAATACATATTTGCGATTAATTAAAAATATATTTTAGTCTTGTTAGTACGTATACTTTAAGTCCTATGTTTTTAAGAGTCCCTAAGTTTTGTCAGTGATTTATATGTCATCAGAAAATATAGAAAAATTCTAGTATTTTTATTTTTAGTTTTTTAAAATTGGTTTAAGATGTGCTTAAAAAGTGATATAGTCACGGTAGATTTATATAGCTAACCCCAATTTGTTTGAAATTGATGCATAATTGTTATTTAAATATGGTAGTACTGTTTGAACTAATTTTGCATGTACTTAGGTCATATAGCCAACCCCAATTTGCTTGAAATTATCAAGTAACTCTTCTCCTCAAGTCTTAAACAAATAAAAAGAAATTACCTATTTTTCTTGGTATTTAAACCTTTGGTGAACAATGAGGGGCTTTGGCTATAGTGAGGTGTCGAGAGAGCATAGGGAAAAAGTAGGTAAAAACCAATGTCTATTTTTTATACTATACTTTATAATAATAAGGTCACATATCTCTAGAAATGTTCACATGGGATCACTTAGAAAGGTACCTTTCTTTCATCAATAGTCTCACTCTTCCCCTTTCCTTTTAGCATTTTCTTTACCCTTCCCTTTTCTTATTTTTTCCTTTTCTTTCTTTATTCTAATTATTTTATTTACATAGTGTTTTTTGGAAAAATAATGGGACTTAAGTTGTAGGTAAGAATACAAGGTTTTTTGACAAATGTTCAACTTGTATTGCAAACATAATATATACTTGAAAGCTAAAAAATGGATGATAAGAGTGAAGTGGGGTGCAAGGTTTGCTTTACAAGAATGGACATGTCTGAATATATGTTATAAAATAAAAGCAATTCAGTAAAATATAAATAAGAAGAGATAGAAAGAAGGAAGAACTCTTTTCTTCTTTTCACTTTGGTGTGTTCTCTATTACAACTTACATAGCCTTTTATAGGCATAAAATGAGAAGACTTACTATTGTAAATAGTGAATGGGATGGACATAAAGTAGGAGATTTCATGCGTAAGATATTCACATACATGGGCATTCATATCTACAAACTATTCATAACACTCCCCCTTGGATGTCCATGTAAGTTAATGTGCCTCATTAAGAACTTACTAAAAAAAATTTGGGACGTACATAGTTATTTATAATATGATATGCATTGTTTGCTGCCTCATTAAAAATCTTACCAGGAAAACCCAGTGGGACAAAATCTTGGTTAAGGAAAAGAGTGCAGCGCGTAGTTACTCCCCCTGATGAAAACATCACTTAATGTCTCAAAGACGACGCATTCCAATCTTGTATATTAGCTTTTCAAATGTTGAGGTTGGTAATGCCTTAGTGAACATATTAGCTAAATTATCACTTGAACGAACTTGTTGAACATTAATAATTAGGAATTATGATGCATTTTACACTCCTTCATGCTTGGATTTTGATTAGAAATGTGTACAAAATAGTCCCAAAGGCTCACAAGTTGTGCTTGATTGCAGGTTTGATCAACAAGGTGACAAGGTGTCAAATACCAGCTCAAAAAGGAGTGAAACTTGCACAAGTACCAAAACAAGGCAATGCTCAGTCAAACAGGGCCAGTGCGGCCGCACACCATTCTGTGCGGACCGCACAAGTGAAGTTCAGAGAGTATGCATCTCAGGCCAAAAAGGCAATGCGGCCGCACATGATTTTCTGCGGTCCGCATTGGAGTCACTGCGGCCGCACTCGAAATTGATTCCGGAGAGAAGTTTTGTGAATAGAGATCTCTTGCCTCACAACCCCAATGTGAGGAGACAGTTTAGAGAGAGAGTGGGCTGGGAGTACTTCTTGAGTGACTGTGTGGATGCAAACGAGCACCTGGTCAAGGAATTCTACACCAATGCTGCCCACATCAAAAAGGGCACCAAAGTGACCAAGGTGCGAAATTTGATAGTGCTGTTTGATGGAAAAACAATAAATAACTACTTGGGCTTCGATGAGGAGGATGAGTCTCTGTACATGGCAAAGATGGAATTAGGCGAGGAGGTCCGTCCTTGGTTGACACAATATCTGGCAATCCCAGGTACCACCCCAGATTGGTTGAATGCGGGAGTGAAAATTTTGAGGAGAATTTTGAATTCGAGGCCAAGGGGTGGGAAACATTCGTGTGCAGCAGATTGGACCCCACTACTCATGACAACTCCCTCCCTCTGCACCGGGCAGTACTGGTAGCATCAATCATGGCGGGGTACCCGATTAACGTCGGGAATGTGATGACTCGGGTGATTACACAGGTAGTAGGTGAAGGTGACAGAAACTACCCCTTCCCCAGCTTCTTAGCCTTGTACTTTAGGGACCTCAAAGTTGAAAAGCGGCCATTTGATATCAATGTGAAAGTAAAGGCCCCGTTCTCATGGTACAACATGCAGGGTGATGACAACCCAAAAGGCAAGAACTACAAGGGAACAGCCACTGCTCCAACTGGCCAGTCTGAAGAGCCAGTAGTGGTAGTGGCTCCTACTCAGCCTCTTCCACCTCAGCGGACATGCCCCCTAGTCCATCCACTTCAGCAGGTCCAGACATACCCTCTACCCCGGCCCACCCAGTAACTGCATACCATCTGAGCCAAGCCCTTCTCAGTATCAACAACTGGATGCAGACAGCTTCCTCTAAGTTGTCTGTCCTTACTACTACAGTGGCAGCTCAGTCGGCTCCTCCGCCTCCACAAGTCCCACAGTCTATTGAGGACGCCCTCAAAGAGATCCTGGCTAACCAGAAGAAGATCCTTGATACTCAGAAAGTGCTTACAGAAGCTGTGGATTCTCATGGGAAAGCTCTCAAGGAACTTGCTAAGGAGGCCAAGAAGATGAAAAAGACTCGGGCTTCCAAGGAGTCCGTGAAGGAGTTACGGGTTGAGGTTGACAGGTTGAAGGCAGATCACCTGCCTTTGTATTTATTGCTACATGACCCGGTACCAGCAGCCCATCCCCAGCCAGTGCAGAGGGTGATCCCCCGTGCAGATAATGCAGTCATTCAGTTGGAGGACCCACCGAAGGCTTCCTCCAGTCAGCCACAGGATGCAGCCCAAGAGCCTGTCCAGGTCCAGGCCCAGGTCCCAGCAGCAGAGCAGCAGGTCATAGGGAACCAGTCTAAGGTTCCCGAGCATATTGAGGACCCAGGACCACTCAGGATCCCATGCAGACAGGCGGGCCATAGGGAGTTTCTATATCTTTTTTCCCTTTATTTTTGGTGCTTATTTTGCTTAGTTGGCATTGAGGACAATGCCAGCTTTCATTTGAGGGGGTAGGCCCTACTTTGACTTTGATTGGATGACTGTATATATTTGACAGATTTTCTGATATCTTTCTTTTTATCTTTGGTATATATATAATTTTAGTACTTCATTACATTTTGTGTACTTTTCACTTTGGGTCTGTATATAAAAGTCATGTTACATCGTATATATTCATCCCCGTATTGTACATTCGATTAAATCCCCTCTTGTACATATTCATTCTTCTTTCCGCATTTTTCTTTTCCGTAGCTTCTTATTTATCTTCGTAGCTTCTTGTTTTGACCGTTTTGCAATAAGCCTTTGGTTTTCTTAATGCCACGGTTCTTTCCAAAGGTGGAGTTTGTGTGAATCAGGTGGCTCTTCCCAATGATGGATGGCGTGACAACCTTCTTAAGGGTTTGAGTCCGTTTTTCTTTTTGCTTTTTAGTAGTTAGTGATAAGGGTGCCTCAAGCAAAGCTTCACTTGGGCCTAGCACATTTGCCTTTGATCTCATGGTCAAAAACAAATTGTTGTGTTTAGGATGGTGAAAGTTGTCACCTTGAGACTCTTGTGTTGACCGATAATCATCAAGTGGTTTTTCGGGACCATTGTGTGCTCAAATCTTATCTAAGGTCGTTGTGGGCCCCGACTCTATCTCTTTAGCAATCCCATAGCTTGTGTGGTGAGAAATTGCATTGCAAGTCCAAGTCCCGAGCCATTGGTCTAGAACTTGCCCTGCATGTTTGTTGAAGCGAAATCCTAAGTGAATTTTGACTTGAGAAATGATTATAGGCTCTTCTTGATCCAAATGATAGCTTGAACACTTCCACAACCTACCAATGATAAAATCCCTAGTCAACGCTTTTAAGCCTTAGACCTTTTTCCTTCAGGAACCTTAATACAAGCCTTTACCCGTTCTGAATGATACCCTCTCTTGGCACCCGAACTTTCCTTAGCACATGGCAAAAGCATAAGTTTGGGGGAAGAGACGAGGATGGCAACAAAGTGGTAAAAAGTTACAAAATGAAGAAAAGGAAAGGCAATGAGAAAGAAAGAAAAGCAAAAAGACAAAAAGAATGTTCAATGTAGAAATGAATAAAAAGGGATTCAAGAAAAGCAAAGAATGAAAGGTGTAAAAAATTGAGAAAGAAGAAAAGATTTGAATTGAATAAGAAAGAGCGACAATGTGCCTCTCTAACCCCTTAGAAAAAAGTAAAATGACTCAAAAGCTCAAGTGAATGTGTGCCAAAATGAAACAAAAGAAGTGCTTAAGGGAAGATGGAACCTACTTAGACCAAACATTGCCTACCCAAAACCAAAAGCCTTCACTATGTCTCCACAAAAGCCCTACATGATCTCTAGTTGAATGAAGCTTACATTAGTGGTGACTCACATAAGGGGCAAACATATGGTACTTAGAGCCGGACTTGTGACTTTTCTTTGAGAGAGATGAGTGAAATTCCATTAACCTCGTTCTGAGTGCCACTATTCTAAAAGGTGAGGTTTGCTTAGGGAGAGTTGAGGATGTGTGAGTTTG